TTACTATTATATATTTTAAAAAAACAATATTAATTCACGTGTTATAACAATACATAGATTGTATTACATGAATGAAAATAAATTGTAACACTATATAACGGTATGATTGTCATACTAAAATGTATTGCATAGTTCCTGGTCTCCATAGATTATGACAAGTACTGTGCAGTTAAACTTCTTCTTTTTTTAAATATTAATTAATAAACTTGAAATCTTTCAAGTCTTTTAGTGATTAATCTGAATGCTAAAAATTAACATGGGATTTCTTTTAGGATTTTTTGACAAAGTATATAGAATAATTACACTAATTCATCTGTACTATGCGAATAAGATTCAATTTTGTGTACAAAAGAGGTAGAGCATGTGGAGCAAAAAATAAGCTTAAAAATCTTGGAGGTGACACACGAATATTTTGACAAGAAAGATGAGATTACTCTCAAGGCACACTAGAATTTCCACACGCATGCAACGGACAATAACGGCTCAATCAAGGAAGAGTCAAAGGTGATCAATATGGTATTTATTCAAATCCCTCTCATTACTCCCCATCAATCCCTTATTGATTTTATTCAAAAGGTAACTCTCAAAACTTCCTATTTAATTTAGAAATAATTGTCAAGTTAATTGCAAGATATTATTTCACATAATATCTTGCAATTATTCACCCAATTGCACCATATATGGCCGACCATTCTCCGCCAATAGGGTCGGCCACTCTCCCATAACTACCCCACTTATCCCACTAAAATGTTGGGCCATTTTGCTACCCATAAACTTCTAAACACATTCTTGTTAGAATTCTAACTTTGGCATCAGAGATGCTTCGGCCAAAGCCCCCCCCCCAATTCATCGTGGGGGCATAAGGCTTTTGGTTTTAATCTTAGGTGTTATTATTTTGCAGGTGTATTTTCGTCAAAGGAAGAGATAATAGAAATTTACATCCACGGAGCATACTGCTCAAGCTAACTTGGATTGAACTCATGTCTTTCTAAGAGAACTTAATAATTATATAGCAAAAGAGAGAAGAATAAAACTAGTGGTCAAGTATAGTACCCTAAAATAAGAAGGCTATAGCGCATGCTTGCCTGCTCAATAAAAGTTAACAAACATCTTAAGTTCAGGGGAAGGGCCACCTTTAGATTTTCTATTAAACAACATAATCGACCATAACATCCTATGCACAAAGCTTTTCTTCATTACACGCCATCCATCATAAACCCTAGCAGCATTTATCTGTTAGCTTTTAATAATTAATTAAAAAAGGCTATCTGCTAATGAATACTAATTGACCTGGCAAGCGGATTGTGTTTGTTATTGTTTTTGTGTTATACTTATTATCTTAACGGATCGTATCGTGTCAAATCCGTTATCTTAATGGATTCTTAACAGGTTGCTCAATATCCCCGACTCTTTAACGAATCACGTCATTTGTGTTGGGTTAATGGGTCATGCTAGAAATTGCCATGCCTAATGTCTAGACCTGGCAAACTGGTAATATTTGTGTCATCTACATGTCATACCCATTATCTTAACAGGTTTTTAACGTGAGACTTGATAACAACTCAATTCATTAACTGATTCTTAACAAATGACCAAATAACAACCCGACGGGTTGCCCCATAACCTATTATTTTTCGTGTCGTTTTGTATCGGGTTAACTGATCATGTAAGAAATTGCCAAATCTAATACTATAGCATATATTTTGTCCCAGGACTTGTCTTTCTCGTAATTTAAGTTAAAAGACTATAATTGTTCCTTTGCTTTTTCATTATATCAAATTCACAATAGTATAATTCGAAACGAAATGATTAAGGTATTAATTTAAGCAGTTAATTAACTTCTACTAATCAAGATGAAAGCGATTTCTAAGCATTATGAAAAGAATGATCATCTAATACCATGGTCGTTGAATAACGTTATGCAATACCAAAATCACATATATTATGTAACAAAATATAGATTAATAAAGGAAAGTCGGTAGATCGCATCAAAATGTGATGATTTTATCAGATTAGGTTCTTGATACATGTAGATGATTGAACCTTGAATGGAAATGGACCCCATTTCAAGAATTTGGATATAAAACAACAGCTAGTAATAAAAGGCTAGTAGCGTTGGGTTGAGGTCATTGACAAGCTAGAACTTTATCAAGCTTCACTTGCTGACAATATGATGGTTCAAGGTTTTCTAAGATAGGTACTCCTTAGTTGAAGTCTAAACTCTTGTGGTTTGGGTGTGTAACACTAAGTTTGATCTTTTGCCCTTTTTGTTTTTTACTTTTTATTTTTTCTAAAATGGTATATTTACAGTAAGAGATGTGAGAGAAAATTGGTTTTGAACTCATGCCATCCGCAAGTATGGTTCTAAAACTCCCTACCTAGTGCCTAGGCAGTTGGTTACCACCCAGATTAATTCTTAGGTGTTTGAAATTAAGAAATGGTGCTTAAACATGCCCAGGGGGTGCCTAGATGGGTCTAGGCACCAGCTTAGGTCATGACTCTCACTTAGACTGAAAATAGATAACTTTTTTCCTTTTTTTTTTCAGTAAACTGTAAGAAACTTGAATACTTGGATGACCATTCATTATATGCTTGTTTCTTATATTTCCAATATGTTCTAATACTTTATAATTTATATGTCATTCTATTTTGCAATTTATGTATCTCAATACAATCATGTATTTTTTTAAGTATAAGTAAATATTTATTTATATGTTAATAATAAATTTAATTAAAATTAAATAAATAAAAAAAACTGCCTGGGCACTAGGTCTTCACCCACCACCCGACTAGTGCCTACCGCCTTTTAAAACCTTACAAGTGATGAGAAATACTACTAAACCGTAGCAAACATAATGTTACAAATCATTACATATTTTCAAATTTGAATAAGTTCAGGAATATTCATATATATATATATATATATAATTGGAAAAGTCAAATATAGGACTGCACCCAATAAAAATAGAGAGTATAACGAAAAGCTCTCGATACTGTTTATTTTAACGAAAAACCATATTTTTATACTAAAACAATCAATCCTGGTACTATTCAATTTACCTTTTATTTTGTCCTTATCGTTAAAACTCAAAGTTTTCAAGCTCTTTTCATTAGTTTTCCTATTAAAATAACCAAGTTCTTTTTTCATTACCCTCTTGTGTTTTAGGGATGTTTGACATTCTTGTTGAAAGGCTAAAAACGTGTTGAACTGTTTTTGGAGAAAAGGTTAGAAGTTTTTCTAGAGAATAACCTGCTAGGTGCCTCTCAAGACGAACTTTCAAATACTTATTCAAAAAGCATTTGAACTTTTAATAAATTTTTTAACATGTTTGTGATAATAGCACTTTTTGCGTAAGTGCTTGTAAGTAGAAGTATTTCGTACATAAGGAATTTTAAAAGAGCTCATATCATGAGTAGTGCGTTGTAATTGAGTAATTAAGTAGTTTTTACCTTATGGTTGAGAGAGATGGAAAGGTCACCCATATGGAATTATACTTTTTTTTTTTTTCATAGAACGATATATTACATTAAGGAGATGGAGAAATAAAGTGGTTTCGAATTCCCACCATCACCGTGCACAAAATTTAAACTTAAATCCTCTCACTTACAATTAAACCATGATATTAAGTTGTTTGCCGGTTATTAGGTGCGGGAGATTGATTTGGTCTAATTTTATTCCTTCTAGAATCTCTATATTGGCATGGAAAGTTTTATGTGGTCGTATTTTGACTGAGGACATGCTGCAAAGACGCATTTTATGGCATCTTGATGTGTTTTATGTTGTTTGCACGTGGAATCTTTTGAGCACGTTTTTGTTACATATACTTTTACCATGTCAGTTTGGCAGCATATTTGGGATGCTTTTGGTTTGGGTACACTTCATGGCTCCTTATTAAAACGTTTTCACCATAGGTTGGCCTTGGATAAGAGTTCACAATTTCGAGATTTGTGGTTTGCGGCTTTTGTTTTTACTATATGGTGTATATGGTATTTGAAAAACCAAGCTTGGCATGAAGGACTTAGTATTCATGTTTCTTATGCTTTGAGTTTATTGTTGGTCAGATCCATTATACAAATAGAATGGGGTCCCGTTATATGAATAATGTTGTTCGCGATTTATGTGTATTGAAGAGGTTTGGTGCTACATGTAGACCTCGTTGAGCCCTCATTATTTTAGAGGTGTGTTGGCTTCCTCCCAATCATGGTTGAGTTAAGATAAATATTGATGGTGCTTGGAAGAGTGGTTCCGGTCATGCTGGTGGTTTTTTCGGGAATTCAAAAGCTAGTTCTTTGGAGCCTTTTGTTCTAACTTAGAGATTCCTAGCTATGTTGGGGCGGAGTTAATAGCAGTTATTAAGGCTATTGAATTAGTTTCGGTTTGGGATTGAAATTAAATTTTGTTTGGTTGGAAGTTGATTTTATTTTGGTTCTTGACTTCTTGCGCTCTCCTCAATTGGTTCCTTGGCAGTTGAGAGTGGAGTGGAGGAATTAACTGCATAGAATTTCTCAAAATACATTTTTGGTCTTCTCACATTTATAGGGAAGGTAATCAAGTCGTTGATGCCCTTGCAAATCATGGTTCCTCTTCTACTGAATGTGGTTGGTGGGATTCTCTTCCTGATTTCATATTGTCGTATTAGCATCGTGATTATGTAGGACTTCCACACTACCACTTTAAATAAGTTATCTTTTGTTGGCCTTGTTATTATCTTGTATTGGTTGTTGGAGGTTTTGTTTGTTATGGTTGCTATCATAGTCTGGGTTAGACTTAGGGCTGGTTTGGTATTGCTGTGCTTTGAAAAAAAGCTGTTGTGAGAATAAGCGGCTGTGCTGTGAGAATAAGCAGCTGTGAAATAAAGCAGCAAAGTGTTTGGTAAACTTTTTTGTAAAAGTGCTTTTGGAAAAAAAAAGCAGTATGATAGTGTTTGGTAAACTTTTTTGTAAAACAGCTGTGACTGTGTGAAATGACCAAAAAAGGTATATTACTAGATGTGCTATTAATTTAATTTTCTTAACAAATAAAAGTGAATTACTAAATATATTTTATTTTTAGAAGAAAAATATTTATAAACTTTATCTTAAATATTAATTAGTATAACAAACTACTTTAATAGAAATATTTTAGAGTGAATAGCTAGGATTCATTAGTACAATATTGTTAATGTACTTGAAAGTAGTCTAATTATATGCATTCATCAAACTTGTTGCTATTCTATTTCTTAATGCCTCTATCTCATGTGATCCTTCAACTTGATAATTTTGATATTCATCATCATCATCATCACTACTATCGCTTTCTTCGCAAAAGTCCCTGGGGTCATCAAAATGACGATCACGTTCAGAATACCTCTGTATGTAGTTATGAAGAGTCATTGTAGCAATGACAATCTTCACTTGCTTATTGAACGGGTAATTAGGCATATCCCTTAAAATTGCCCATCTTTTCTTCCATACCCCAAAAGTTCGTTCAATGATGCTCCTAAGAGAAGAATGTCTGTGGTTGAATACCTCTTTGTGACCCGTTGGTTCGGCACCCCTACGAAAGTCCGGAAGGTGATATCTTTCACCTTTATATGGTCCCAAATAACCTCTCATTTGTGGGTACCCCGCATCTACCAAGTAATATTTTCCTGACAATTGAAAATTTGTTTTGTATTGTATTAATTATACAAAGCAAGTATGTAAAATGTTATAATAAAAGTATGAAGATTACCATTTGGAGGCTCAGAAAAGTTTAAATTTGGATTCCGTAGCACGGATAGAAAAACCCTTGTATCATGTGCAGTGCCTTCCCATCCGGCACAAGCAAATGTGAATTGCATGTCAAAATTACATGCAGCCATAAAATTTTGAGTCGGTATTCCTTTCCTACCAATGTATGGAACTTGATCCGGAGGTGGTATTGAAGCCTCAACATGCACTCCATCTATGGCACCAATACAATCCTAAAAATAATAATATAAAAGAAAATCGTCAACCTACACTTATAGTTTGCAAATAAGTTAGAATACGAGTCAAATTTTACCTTAAAATAAGGCATGTATCTTGTATCTCTCCTTATTTCAGGGGGAATGCCACAAAACTTCGAATCCATTGGTTTGATAATATCTATTGCCATCTTACATACGAGATCCAACATAGCACCAAAATTCTTTCCACATATTTGAGTGATTTGTTAGTCATACCCTGAAAATAACCCCCACATGAAAAAATACAAAACTGGATTCCTGTTATTTCAGCAATGATATTATCATAAGACTACAAGCTTTAATGTGTCCACTATTTTCTTTTGTTTAATATTAGTTGGGTCCAGTAACCCTTCCAACCCATCTTCCCTATAATTTCCTGTATCTAAATTAATCTGCGTATGGTGTATCTGTGGATTATGAAAATCCAGACATTATATTCACAATTTGAGTGTTAAACAATGTATAAATTGGTATCTCAAATAAAATGTACAGAATACCATCCAGAAAATAAAGATGCATACCAATTCATATACAAGCATTCCCCTTTTATCTCTATATGGTATATAAAAAGTTAGAAGGCAAAACAAGTGAAACATTCATAATGCCTAAAATTGCCCTTCCCTAACTTGGAATCCAAATGATAGACAATTTTAAAAAAAAAAACCAAAACAAAAACAAACAAAAAAAATCTAATGTGAGCTGCAACTTAATTTCATACTCAGTTTGGAAACTCATCTATTCCTGATCAAGTTCGTATTATCTCTAATATGAACAAAAACATGAACAGATAAACAAAACCTAGAGGTGATAATCACATAAACCTAAGAATTTCTTGTTCCCTTTTCTATTTATTTCCTCTTTCTGTTTCCAATAATCAAAGGACAAAAGAAATTGAAACAAAAGCTGTTTCAAATTCTTCTTCCGGATTTGTTTTGATATCTTCCCAGTCGACTCAATTTGTGTCATTAGTGAAAGGGAAAATACAATGGCATCATGTAAAAAAAAATTAAGCTTTCCAGCAAAAACCAAAGAGAGTAATAATAAAATTTATTATAACTTGTGCTATTATATTATATCAAGGAAAATAAACCAGAATTTTGGAGAATATAAACCCTCTGACTTCTTGGCTGCGATCTTCAATCCTGCGATCTTCTAATGTGTCACCTGCAACATAAACCCGGAACTTCTGAGGAATATTTTGACCCAAAAAACACATGACAAATCAGAAGCACATGACAAATCAGAAGCACAGTTCACAGATTAGAAGCAGAGCAAAGCAAATTATCCCTTACATAAACCCAAATCAGAAGCAGACCTTCTTCAAAAAAACGAATACAGAAGTAATCAAACTTCTCTCTCAATTTTTTTTTGTTTCCTCCACAAACCCTAATTTTTTTCCCCAATTAATTTTTTCCCAATTAATTTTTTCCACAAACCATATCACCTTCCCCAATTAATTTTTCCCCACCCTCCATCCCCAATTGTTTTTCCCGACACCCATACCCTCATCCCTTTGCTCTTCCCACCCCTCTTTCCCTAATCTCCCCATCCCTAATTTGAAAAATCCAAACAAATAAATAACAAATTTTTACAAGAGAAGCTTACCTAGAGAAACCTGGAGAACGAGAGAACGAGTTCGCTAGTTTTTGGAACGAGAGAACGAGAGAACGAGAGAGATCGCTCTGGTTCGGGTTATGTGCGAGAGCTCTGAAAGGTGAAGAGCGTGCGAGAGCTCTGAAAGGTGAGAGCGTAGGTGAAGGGAAAGGAGGGCAGTTTTGGGTTATTCAATATTTCATTAAACGTACACTATTCACCCGTGTGTGGGTGAAAATAAGCTGCTTTTGGAAGCTGCTATTTGCAGCTTCTTGTCATCTTCAGGTTTTGGGCTTTTTTTCACCCCCAACTTTGAAACAAAGCTGCTTTTCAAAGTTTACCAAACACCAAAAATTCTCATAGCTTTTTTTCATAGTAGCTTTTTTTTTAATCACCTCAATCCCAAACTGCACCTTAATGTCCCCCTTGACTGTTTGTAATTTTCTTCTTTTTTAATAAAGTTACATTTTTATCATTTCTCATTATAACAATATTGGAGCAGGATTGACTTTGAGGTTTTACCAAAAATTAAAATAATAATAATAATAAAATCTCCTTAAGAATGTCTTTAGTAAAAAGATTGCAAATCTGAAATGTAAAAACCACGTTTACATCTCAATTTGCACCTTCAAGAAATATGAATGTGAATTTTACTCTAATGAAAAATATGTAAATTTAAAATCTCATTTATTTTTCTCATAATTACTCATAGGGCTCATTTTCTAAAGATGTATATTTACATTTTCCGACAAAAATGATATTATACATCCTTCCATTAGAGAAATTTTCGATCAAGAAACAATATAAAATGTCTATTTTAAAGTCTTTTGTCTCTTCCATTGCAATGCTCCCTGAGCACAAAAGAGTATAGCTTGTATGTCTCATGGTTCTGCACCTTGAGCAGAAGAAAGTATAGTTATTAACTGCGTACTGGAGAGATTTTTCAGTGTAACCGGAACACGGGATGGTACATTGCGTGTTATTATATAATTGGTGGGATATGTGTGTTGATAAGTTAATAATTTAAAAAATAAAATTTCTCACCACTTATATAAAAACAAGAGGTCTACCACTTGTGTTCCGGTCACAATGAAAATTTTCTCCGCATACTATCCGATTATGGAGAGATTTTTCAAGGTGCTTGGAACACGGGGTGGTACACCATTTGTCTCCATACAAGTGGTGAGATTCTTGTGTTAAAAAATCAATAACATAAAAAATAAAAATTTTCACTACTTATATAATGACACGTGGTGTACCGTTTATATTATGAACACAAGGAAAAATTTCTCCCAACAACGGGTCCACATTGCATATACACAGGGATAGAGGACAATATATGGAAATTAAAGATTTTGTAAAATCCAAGGAAACCCTTTCGAGCAGAAATTAAACAATGTTTAATGTTAGTTTACAAACAAATATTAACAAGATAAGAAATAGCTGCAAGGGGCACGAAAGGGTTTTACCTGAATCAGCTATAAACAATTTTCTTGTTGTATCTATATTGATTCAACCCGGTACTTATCACGAAGCACTGGATTATTAATAAATAAGGAAAGGCTGATCTTGTTCCCTTGTGTGTCAATTAATCAATTAGAGTGGTTAGCCCATGATGATATATTATCCAACCTTAACTTAGTGATCGAAGAGTGATGGATGACTTTAAGGGGACTCATCTGGTAGATGTAAATCTAAAAATTAATATGAATAGTTATATATTTGATATGGACAGGTTGGAAGTCTGCCATGGCTGTGTATGTGGCAGCGGATGAATGGTACCAAATGGCCAAGGGCGGCACACCCAACAGACTCGACAGGGAGGGAGGAGATGGATAGTGAAAGGCAAGAATGTGACGATGTGATATATATGTAAAAGACAATATGACATAAATCAGGAAAAAACGTAACATCTAGTTTAGTCCAGACAAGATACCATCATAAGAAACTAATTATAAGAATCATAAATGAAGTATAAAAGTAATTGTCTAATTGTAATCTTAAAAATTGGCAAATATTTGGCGAGTTCAATAAAAACGGAAATGTTTATGAAGATAGAATAATGCTAAAGACAAGTTGTGTAATTCCCCATAGCCTCTTAGATTTTGAAAATGGTGAATAATCATGGTTTGCCATCAGTTTTTTTTTTTTTTTTTTTTTAAGAAAAACAAAAAAAAAAAGTTGTGTAACAAATTTGATCTATCTCAGATTAATGATGTGAAAAACGTCTTAATTTTAAATGAATACGAGTTTAATTCCAAATGAATACAAGTGAGTATGTATTGAGTAATTAAATTATTTTAAAGATAAACTAGAGCAACCCTAATTGCAACTCACAACACCTAAGGGCGACCCGTCGCATCACCACACTGTCCGTCTCTCCTAGGTGGGAGGAGTTCTCTGTTTCTAAATTAACATCTCAATGTTTCTGTTATATTCCAATACCATACATTAATCATCTATATATATAGTGATGTATTTTGAAAACTGATAACTTTTTTTCTCAATGGGGATTTGAAAAATGTTTATATAAATAACAAATAGACGAGATGGTAAAGTCAAGAGATATTGTGGGAGTGAATGTTGTTAAAACTTAAAGCTACAAACCTAGTTTAGTTAAGGGAATAATATATATAATATATAGTTATATGCGGAAAATCTTAGAACACAAAATAGCGGTGGGCGGGGGTGGCGTGTAAACATGGTGTCACACTCACGCCGTCCAAACACAAGCTTTGCATCTCATTTTCTCAGCTGCCACCCCACGCGCAATGCCAATGCGCAATCAATACCATTACCACTCTTATGTACTCTCTCCTCTCTTTCTCTTAATTCCATATATACCATATCTCTTGTTTTTAAACTAATTACAATTAACTAGCTCTTTTCTTCATCTAAATCTTCATCTCATCACCATCGAGCAGCTGGCCCATGTATATAAATACATTTATTAGCCTCTCTTTCTCTTCAGCAACAAATTAATATTCACTTCACAGAACTGCAGAAGCCCTCCCTCTCTCTCTCTCTCTCAAGCTAGGGTTCACCGGATCCAACTAATATATACATCTTCAATATTTCCATTCTTTTTTTTACGTCTTCATATATCATCCTTGAGTATTTCCTTTTCTGATCTCTTACAAGTTCTTTTCTTAGCGCAAAGAAGGCAGTTGCAGCAACAGTTTTATTGATATCCTGTGAGTATTTTCCTGTGTGCATGATATAATTCAGCTCATGCATATGTTAATCACACTGTTACATGCAGAACTATATATATATATATATATATATATATTACAACATATATATTGCTAAAATTGTTTTAATTTCTTAGTTCCTTTTACAGATGAAATTACTAGCGTTTGTGTAATGCATCTACATTTACAGTTAATTAAAATTCACATTTTATGTGATGGATGATTGATCAATGATTTGTTTGTACTAAATGTAGGTCAATCTTTTAATAATCTTTCGGTAATTAATGAAAAAATTAGATTGGTTTTTATTGATTAGTTTTGATTGTGTAGTTAGCGTGGTTTGGGTATGAAATGAATTGTTTTTAAGGAATTTAATTCCACCACTGTCACTACCAGTAGAGATCGACCGAGCAGGAGGTAGCAGGCAGGGAGTGCGCTGCACTCAAAGAAATATAACATGCTTGTGCCAGCAAAGTCAAGCTTTTCGGCCAACTTTTGTGTTCAATATATATTTGTCCCTGATTACTCTATGCAACTAATGAAAACAAATTTACTTATGAGCTTAATTATAGGATAATCCTATGTTTCAATGTTAGCGTGGTTGGTTCCAATCCACTACTAATCCTCTGTCATGATTTCTTTCTTTTCCGCAATGTCAAATAGCCAAAAACACATGCAGCACCACTAACAATTCCCACAAGTGAAATCGTCATCATTGCTAGCTAGATACTTAGCTACTATATAGCACAGGGTATAGATATCATGCATACGACTTTCAGAATTCCTTCTTCAATATCCCTCCAAATTAAGAGTCAATAGTTTTCTTCACAAACTATTTGTTTGGTTATCTTGTCTTTGATGTTAGACCTACGCCAATTACAAGAACCCTTCGACTATGTTTGGGAAAGGAATTTTCAAATACCTTTAAGGTCAAGTTATAAAGAAATGGATTACAAAATATTAGACAGAGAGAATTAAGAATGACAATCATGACCATCATATAGGTATGTAAGAGGAATTTACAAGTGACACTTTCCATATAAGGATTTGTAAATCCCTTTCACATGTCTTTCTAATGATCATGGAAAACATTTCTAATTTTTTTTATATAACATTTGTAAATCTTTTAAGACTGAAAACTTTCTTACCTAAACATAGCCTTCGAGGGGTAGTCCATGTAAGAAAAAAAATGTATCATATGATTCTTTTTATTTCATGTAATCATGAATACACACACACACACACACACACACACACACATACATATACATATATATAGGGCAATTCTATGGCATCCTTTAATAAAAAGCATGTGGCATCATTTTGAACATTAGTAGTGCAATACAATGACATTCAAGTATAATATCTCACATTTAAAATGATTAAGATAAAGTTAAAGTTAATAACACCGCATTACTTTGTTATTATTAACAAGATTGGTAATTACATTGTGGACTACACACACATACACACACGGACACACACATACACACACTCATGCGCATATATAGCTAAGTCAAGAGAATAATTATAAGGACTCTCTCTCATACTTCCTTGCATGATATGCAGGTGCGTCTAGAATACCATTAGTAATGGAGATGGAATCTTGTGTTCCACCAGGCTTCAGATTTCACCCGACAGAAGAAGAACTTGTGGGTTACTACCTGAAAAGAAAGATCAACTCACTACAAATTGATCTAGATGTCATCGTTGACATTGACCTATACAAAATCGAACCATGGGACATACAAGGTACTTTAAGAACCAACTTATTTTTAACGTTTGCAGGTTGACCTCGAAATGGCACAAAAAGATACGTACCTAAGAGGGGTTTCTGTGTTCATACTATTGGATATGGTAACGTGTAGAAGGAAAACAACATTGGAAAAATCCGTTGATGCTTGTTAGGAAAAACAAAACAAAATAGATAGCGATTTAATACTTCATTTTAGCTATTTGCACTCCAAACAGTATAGCTAGCATTCATAAAAAGAATACATGAAACTAATTAAACAATGATTAATCACTAACCAAAAACATATTGCACGTATCTCCTCTTTGATTAGTCAATTTCATCTTTTATACAGTACTTGACATTATGGTAGCTAGCGTTAAAGTGCTGTCGTGCATGCCACAATTTGGTGCAAGTGGCATGCATTTTCCTCAAAATTGTAACATAATAGAAACAACATAAACACAAATACTACTATTTGTCATCAATGGCTAAACAAAAGAGTTGTTATTGACATCGCATAAGATTATGAGCATATGGATGCATTCTGGTAACTATGTATGTCTTTTATGGAGCAGCGAGATGCAAGCTGGGCTACAGTGAAAAGAACGAGTGGTACTTCTTCAGTCACAAAGACAAGAAGTACCCGACTGGAACTCGAACAAATAGAGCCACATCTGCTGGATTCTGGAAGGCAACAGGAAGAGACAAGGCAGTGCTTTTAAAGAACAACATTATAGGAATGAGGAAGACCCTGGTGTTCTACAAGGGACGAGCACCTAACGGCAACAAAACCGACTGGATCATGCATGAATATCGACTCCAAACTTCTGAACATGCACCCCCTCAGGCAAGTTCTTCAATATCGTCCATCGATTAACTTGTTATTTAATTTTCTTCAGTTGATCGAGAAATTGACAATATTAATATATTAATTATATGAATAACTGTATTATTAGAGAGAGATGCCATCATACCCTAAACCAGTAAATAACGTGTGTTTACATACGTAGTTTGAATTTTTATATTATATGAATATATATTTTACACACACACACACGCATACTAATTTGCAAATTAACAAATCCGGCCTGGTTATGGTCGTGCAGGAAGAAGGATGGGTTGTATGTCGGGCATTCAAGAAGCCAAGTCCTAGTCACAGGCAAGGTTTTGAAGCATGGAAGCATGCTTACTATGTCAGAGATCATCCTTCATCTTCAAGCTTCTCAAGTGAAATGCCTATGTCTATGCTGATCAACCCCAATCAAGGTTTCCATCAACCTTTTCGTTCAGATCAGCAAGATCATTTCGTTTTGAACAACATTTTCTTGGGTAACCAGCTCATGGAACTTCCTCAACTAGAAAGCCCAACCATTTCAACAAGCTTTGTCACCAAAGAAAACATATTGAATAGCAATAATCTCAGCACTGAAGACTATGAGGACGACAGGAGCAACAACAATAACAGCAATCAACAAATAGATTGGAAAAATTTGGACAATTTACTCGAAGTGCAATTCACTGATAGGGCATCATTTTCTCATCCAAGTTTGTCGTCGGCACCCCAATATTATGAGCAAGAAACTCGAAGCAACCATCTTCTTGGATGCTTCCAAGACTTGTGACAGCAGAAGATCAATATAAATGGTCTCAACAACTTATTCTTGTTTGGCTCTTAAAAAAATAAAAATAAAATAATAGTCCAGTCCATATCTAGTTGTGTAGTCGGGACAAGGTTATATATTAAGTTGTTGAGATTGCATGCTTAAGAGCATCTTCAATGAAGATGTTAAAAAATAAAATAAAATAAAATAAAAATTATCCAATGTAAATTTTTAGGCTTATTTGGTAAATGTCAAATTTTCTTTTGCTCAAACTCACATGTTTATTCTAATTCATTTAATATTTGTAGGACCCGCTCTTCAAAAAATAAATAAAAACTAATTTTCATGATTTATTATTGGTGCATTACTAAGACCCACACAACACAACATTCAAAAAATCAAATTTTATTAAGTGACATTCCACTAAGAATTTGCATTTCATTTATTTAGAAAGTTACTAAGAATTTCCGCTCACAAGGCCAATTTTATCGTAGGCCACAATAATTTGGTTACGGACCATGCTCAGTAGCCTGATTACGGAAAGTCAAGAATGTTGGGCTGGGTGGCTTTGTTTTGATGCCAAGAAACAAAAGTTTTAACTTTTAAATGATAATTTATGATTACTTTTGATACCGATATAATATTATCCAATAAAAAAAAATCTTAAATTGTTATAGGTTTATTTGACTGAATTATCCTAAGCGAATAGAGAGAGGGTGGCCGGCGGCAATAAGAGAGAAAATAGAAAGATTTAATTGTGAGATGTGTGTTTGTATCATCCCATTGTGCCTTTATTTATAGTAGTAGGATAAGTTAAATCCTTACCCTTTTAGGATTACAACTTTAATAGGATATTAACTACTAAACGGAATATTCAAAGATATCCCAAGATACACTAGGATTTACATAATCACATTCCTACTCTAAATATGACTACAACACTCTCATTAGATCTTCAGCAGATAAGGTAGAACATTTGATGAAGTCGGCAGCACAATGGGCGAATAGTAAAACTCACAAAACCTCGCTATGATAAAACTTAAGGCAAGTGAAAACCCATAGACTAAGGAGAAAAGTGAGAAGTATGCATAATGTCTAAAACAAACGTCAAATAGGACGAAAGTAGTGAACTCAAAGGAATATGATCACCCCAAGATGGGTGCCTAATCAAAACCTCGTTAGGTAGCAAAAACCCAGTGGAAAAAGGCACATAATCATAGGAAAAATAGTACATTAAGATCAAGTGAGTATGCTTAGGATACTCCCCTTGAGTTAGACATAACTTCCAAATAAAAGAACTACAAGCAATTCAACTCAGATAATTTACACATACTGATTCCTTGGACGAGCTTCTAAAAAATAGACTTGGGCAATGACTTGGTGAAGAGATCAGCCAGGTTGTCCTGAGTTCGGATTTGCTTGACTTCAATGTTTGATGTTGTTGTTGCTAGTGAGAATAAAAAAACTTTGGCTTTATGTGCTTGATGTTGTCTCCCTTGATGTATCCCTTATTTAATTGCTCGATACATGCAACATTGTCTTCAAAGATCGTCGTAGGAAGGTCAACGATAGAAGTAAGGCCATTAGTGCTTCAAATATGTTCCATGACTACTCTTAACCAAAAACACTTGTGTGATGCTTCATGCAGGACGAGGATCTTAGCATGGTTCAAAGAAGTGAAGAAGTCACAACTAGCGTTTTCTTAGTAGACCTCCAAGATATAGTTGTGTCTCAAATGGTAAAGACATAACCCGTTTGAGAATGTGCCATATGTTGGTCAGACAGATATCCAGCATCTGCGTAACCAATAAGGTGGGAATCAACCTAAGAACCGAAGCGGGCGACGGCTCCTCTCTAGCGGAAAATGTCTTTAACACCATTCCAATGTCTGTGTGTGGGCACATTGCTGTATGTAGCCAAAAGATTAACAGTGAATGAGATGTCAGGTCTAGTGCATTGAGCCAAGTATAATAAAGCCCCGATTGCACTTAGGTATGGAACTTTAGGCTCCAAAATCTCTTCATCATCCTCTTTGTGACAGAAGGGATCTCGTTTAGCATCTAGAGTCCAAACGACCATAGGAGTACTCAAAGGCTTCACTTTATCCTCATTAAAACATCGCAACACCTTTTAGGTGTAGTTTAATTGATGTACTAGGATTCCATCCAAACAAATCTCCAAGCCAACATAATATCAAGTTTTCTCAAGATCTTTCATCTTAAATTCCGATTTTAAGTGAACGGAAATTTCCTCAAGCTTTGCGGAAGTTCCAATGAGGTTCATTTTGTCGACATAAACTGCAATGATCACAAATCCGGAATGTGACTTCTTTATGAACACGCATGGGCATAATTCGTTGTTCACATAACCCTGACTTGTCAAATATTCACTCAGACGGTTATAGCACGTTCGCCCAGATTGTTTCAATCCGTAAAGTGATCTCCTTAATCTAATAGAAAGAGTGTTCCGTAGTCTAGAATTATTTGAATCAGTCAATGGAAGTCCTTCTGGAACTTTTATGTAGATTTTCGTATCTAGATCCCCATACAGATACGTGGTCACCACGTCCATAAGCTGCATATTTAGTTTTTCGAAAACTACCAAACTGATTAGGTAGCGGAACGTTATGACGTCTATTTCGGGGGAATACTTCTCCTTGTAATCAATCCCAGGGTGCTGAGGGAAACCTTGCACTACGAGGCTTGCTTTGTATCGCACTATTTAATTCTTCACATTACACTTCCTTATGTAAACCCACTTGTAGCCCGTGGGCTTCACATGTAGTGTAGTAGGAGCTATAGGTCCAAACACTTTACGTTTCACAAGCGAATCGAGTTCAACTTGGAATGCTTGTTTCTAGTTTGACCAATCTATTTTACGTTAGCATTCATCAACAGAATGTGGTTCAATTCCATTGCTAAGCACGATGTTAGTAGCTACTATGTACGCAAATGCATCATCAACAATCATCTCATTCTGATTCTAAACCTCATCCAATATTTCGTAATGGACCGAAATCTAGCGATTCTTGGAAGGTTGGGTTGTCTCGTCTAAGATATCACCATAATCTAAAACAACCTCATGCGTTAGGACATATGAGTGAGCGATGCTCGAATTCAAACTAAGGTCATCAGTTGGTTGTGTTTTCCTCTTCCGAGGTTACAAGGCATCTACCACGCTTCAAGGTCGGAGCAGATGACTAGTTAGCCACCAATGTACCAAGCCATGTGGAAGGTGCGGCCTCCCCACCTTCGGGGGTGGTCAGGCCTTAATAGGTGGTGTTACGACGTACTCGGGGTATGTCTACCCTTGCAAGTACGTTTGCAGCAGGTATATGTGATCTCGTCACCTTACTAGATTAATAAAAGCATCTAGCATCCTTTGAGCAGTGCTCTGAAGATTTATAATTCGTTTTAGACTAGGTAATCTGAGGATCTAGATGAGTCATAGTGGGAGCATACCACGACAATTCGCGGCATTCTCCAGGAACATTAACATACTTATCTCCCCTTAACAACGGGACGACTGCCTAACCAAAGTGACAATCCGCAAAACGTGCAGTATAAAGATCTCCTGTCAAGGGCTCTAAATAGCGAATAATTGATGGCGAATCATAACCAAGATAGATTCTCATTTTTCTCTGAGGAACCATTTTGGTACGTAGTGGCGACATTATTAACACATAAATTGCGCACCCTAAACACATGTAAATACAAGACGTTAGGCTCGTATCTAGTAACCAACTATAACGATGAATGAAGTTGGGTAGCGGTGGGCCTTAGCCGAACCAGCATAGCTGCGTGCACTATTACATAGCCCCAGGCAGATATTAACAGTTTGGTTTGCATAACCAAAGTCCTAGCTATCAATTGAATGTGCTTTATGAAAGTTTCTGCCAAGCCATGTTGGGTGTGAACATGGGGTACAGAATGTTTTACTTCAATCCCAACTGACATGCAATATTCGTCAAAAGTCTGTGACGTAAACTCTCCAGCGTTATCCAGTCGAATCGACTTGATTCAATAATCAAGGTAGTGAGCCCTTATCTTAATAATTTGTTCTAGCAATTTTGCAAATGCAAGCATTGCATGTGGACAATAGGCAAACATGTGACCATTATTTTGATGCGTCAACCAACACCATAAAGTATCTAAATGGTTTGCATGTTGGTTGGATAAGTCCACAAATATCCCCTTGAATCCTTTGAAGAAACTTAGAAGGGTTGTGAATAATCTTTGTAATTGAGGGTTGAGTATTCAACTTCCCCAAAGAACACGTTTTGCATGGCAGGAATCCAATGTAAAGAGGTAAATGATTCTCATGTGATGATTTGAGGATACGGTGCATCATGTCACGTCCGGGATGTCCCATATGGTTATGCCAAAGCAGCAAAGTGCTCTGGAACTCAGGCACAAGGCCGGCCACATGGTAGGCCTCTATGCCACGAATGTCCATAAGAGCTGATGCTTCCTGAAAATCTGATATCTCCATGGATGTAGTAGCACTTCGAGATGTTCCACATGGACAAAGTTAGACTCACGACGGGAATGATACTTGGCAATAGCCTTAGGAGTAGCTCAGCATACGCGTAACCAATGATCCTTTGATCCATAGCGGTAGCACATGTCCATTTTAGTGAAAACTGATTGAACAGTAGCTTTTCCCTATATATATATATATATATATATCGGAATATAGAAAAATATATGAAACATATACAATATATATATATATATATATATATATATATCGGAAGGAAAATATAAATATAGGGGGTTCATGCATCATAGGGAATGTTTTCATGCTTCGTGGACGCTTCAAATATCTTCCTTTATTTTAAGCATACCTAATTGGCAGAAAATAAATAAAAGCCTTTGAATTTTGTAGAAAGGAGCCTCCTCCTACAATCCTTTAGTTCCTTAATTTCTAGTAATAGCGTGCTGATAACGTGTTATAGGCCTATTTGATTGAACTATTCTAAGGGAATAAAGAGAGGGAGGCCAGCGGCAATAAGAGAGAGAAGAGAGAGATTTAATTGTGAGGTGTGTATTTGTATCAACCCATTGTGCCTTTATTTATAGTAGTAGGATAGGATAAATTCTTACCCTTTTAGGGTTACAACTCTAATAGGATTTTAACTACTAAAGGGAATATTCAAAGATATCCCTATATACACTATGATTTACACAATCGTATTCCTATTCTAAATATGACTGCAACATAATTACTATTTTAAAAAAATTAAATAGTCTCATATTTCAAAATAAGAGTAAGTTGCCAATTCCCCTCTAAATTTTCACTTAGCTTTCAATTTTCCGCCTAAACTTTTCTATTGAAAAATCAAGGACT